GGAATCAGCGTGGTCGATAACCTGCAAGTCACTGACTTTCGATGAAAGAGAAGCGTTTGATCAGTTAAAAACTGTTCCTCGCGAGTGGGTATATTGAAACAAAAAAAATCTTCTTGTGACTGAATGCAAAATTCAAATACCAATTCTAACTGATTCAAATTCTTCTTGGTTATTTCCAGATGATAGAAAAATAAATAGTTTTGTTCTGGGACTTGAACAGATGTTTGAACAAACCGATTTTTATGACACAATTTTTGCTGAAAATTTCATCATTGATATAGTTTGTGGAATGAAATCTATCTTGAAATTCTTAGTCTTTGTCATCATAAGGTTCGAGATTAATTCGCTAATTATGTTTCAATTAAATAACTTTTTAATTAATAACGTGTAATTAAGTATGTGCTTAAAGAACTAATATTTTTACAAATGTTCAGAATAAAACAATTTTTTCAAAAAAACAACAAATAATAAGCGTGGTAAAAAAATCAATTTGTGTGTCAACTCATGTTGCAAATTCAACCAGAAAAGTTCAAAATAATAAAGAATTTTTTATTCTGAATAATGATTACTTTACTGGATTGATGATATCATAACCTAAACGTTATTTGCATGTTGACTAAATGATTTTTCAAAATATTTTCAAAAGTTTTACGCGAAGCGAATAACTCTAATACATCGAACCTTCTTGAGTAATTAAACATAGTGAGAAAAAAAAAGAATGCATTTTATTTCATGCTAACTTCATTTGTCTATCATTATATTTTTTCTATGAACAATTTTCTAAGTGCAAATTCAATTCACACATCGTCAAAAGCGTATCAAAATTCAATAAAATCTAAGAATAAAAGACAATTTCTAACATTCTAATTTTACCTGCATTCCAACTAATGATCGAGATGCCATGGATACTGAAAATTGTCCAGTTTTGGAAAAAATATGCGAAACTATTGTTGTCGTATTCAATGTTCCACTAAACCAACTCGTTTGTGTACCATCACCAAAATCAATAAGATAATTAATATAACTAACTGCACCTTGATAACCAACATTAAATTGATAATTTTGATTAATTTGTAAAGCCATCGGTGATGTACCACCGATTAAATTAATACTTGCTGACTAAGATTTCATTTTAAATAGATCAAATACAAAAAAAATTAAATAAAACTTACATCAATAACACCAATTGATGTATAAACAAGTTCATAATCGCTATCACCACAATAAACATTCGAATCACCTAAACATACATCAACTTGGCATAATGTTGTTGTTGAATTTAGCAATGAAGTATTAGCTAATAGTGAACCGCAAAAACATAGACGTCCAGCAGATACGCTTGCATATGCATAACCAGCTGCTGAACATGCTTGCATACATGTTACAGGTGTAGTCAAATTGAAATCATAATTAGCTGGACTATATGGATAGATTCGAGATGGACGAATAATCGCTCCACAGCCTAACAGATCTAAGAAAAAAATATATATATCCGTTATTCATTGACTTTTCCTTATTTGTTTGTTTTTTATTTATCAATTTACTTTGTGTGTCAACTAAAACTGTTGTTATATAATTGATGAGACATAACTTAAAAAAAAGAGTTATTACGATTAATATTAATCCATCGAATAAATCATACCGAGATCAGAACATGGAATAACCAAGTCCGATTCATCATGTTGAGAATAGCTTGTTTTTATTCTTTGAATATTTAAATACAAGTAGACAATAACTTTTTTTCTTTAAATTAAAAATGTAAAATGATGTGTTAGTAATTTTTTTTCAATGACGGTCGCGACTTTTCTTTTTTCTTCTTTTCTTAACACTCAGTTTCAAAAGTACGTGTTATAATGATTTTAGTTAATGTTGTATTTGATGAAGAAAAAGAAATTACTTTTTGAACACTTTTAATAGTTTTTTGTTATATGCGCGTTTTCAAGTAATTAAGTAAAAGAAAATATATTAAATATAACATCTCACTCTTTTATTTTTTTTAAGTGTTTATGAGTGCATAAAAGAAAAATATCTAGAATATTCTTAATGATCAACAAGCAAATATAATTTTCAATAAAAAAAAAAAGAACTTTATTCAATCTTTTTTTTTTGTGATTTGATAAGTGCTATCAGTTAGATTTTTTTCCATCTTTGTTATTTGTTGTTTGATAGTTGAAAATTGCTTTTGACAGGCAACATTGTTTCATACTTTTCGAACTTATGACGGCAATCATAAAAAGAAAATTGAAAATTTTAAAAAGAAAAAGTAATGAACGACAATATTCAACATTCAAAGAAATATTCCAAAAAAACTAATGATATCAATCGATTAGAAAAAAAGCTACAGCACATTCTGAATTAATTATACTAATACCTGAGACTGAGAAAAAAGTTTCTTTTCTTCTTTTGAAATTTATTTTCTTATTTTCATGCCTTTTAATTAGTAGGTGCAGCGCTCCATATGCGTGTTGACACGACATAAAAATGTATTTAAAAGATGTCTTGACAAAACTGAATTTTTAATCACTATGCAACTGTCTATTTACTTTACAGACAGCTGCGACTTGAATGTTTCAGTTGGTTTGCCTTTTTTTTAAATACATTAATCTTTATTTATTATGATGTATGTAATTCGTAGCTTGTCGGAAATTTAATGTCATCTCTTTTACCGGATGTCCCAAAAGTCATGATCACTTAATAAATGTATATAACTCCACTACTAATTAAGCTTAATCTAAATCGTTATTTTGAACTTCAGATTATTCGAATAAACTTTTGTGAACTTCTAAGTGCTTATTCTGATATAATTTTGAGAAAAGATTATATCATAATCAATTCCAATAACAAGATGACTTATGAAATGATCTAACGTACTCATTTTCATGTTTGCAATGGTTTTCAAAGAATTACAAACGATCTGCTTTGAATAAATGTACCACTTTTTTGATCGATTTGTGACATGTCAAAAAATGATTTTAAGACAATAAAAAAAAAAATCTAAAGACGGTAATAACGATTGAAATTCGAATAGATATCGAAGAAAAACTCATTATATTGCTTTCGTCATCGAAAAAAAGCCTACGTTTTGTATTCTAGCCACAAGTGATACCTTTTCTACAATGTTGTTGAACTTGGTCTTTAAGAATAAAAACTTACTAGTTTCCTCTTTCAAATAAAAAGAAAGGTTTAGATTAAGCTTGATTAGTAGTGGAGTTATATGCATTTATTAAGTGATCATGACTTTTGGGACACTCCAGTATTTCGAAATGGTTTTTTAGTGGAACATATATATTCTGATAATCGACATAGATAAAATTGTTTGTAAGATTAACATTTTTTCTATTGAAATATATATGTGTTTCTTTTATTTCTTAACAGAAACCGTCATCAGATAAACCTCAAGTTAGAAAAAAGTAAAAACCTTGTTTGTCTTCTAATTTATAAACTTTTATGTCGTTTATCAATGTCGATTTACTTTTGTTTTAACAAGGAATCGTAAATTATTTATTCGATTCAGCAAAAATAAAAATAAACACAAAGTTTTATTATCCATACACTAGCATATTGATTGAAAGCTTAATTCGTTTTGTTTTTCAATAATATACACAATCATTTCGATCACATGCTTCTTTTTTTCTTTTGATAATATCGACTAGGTCAGTTTTTCGTCACACATCATGTTTTGTTGTTATTTCGATATTTTTCTTTGATAATAAAAATATTTCTATACGTATTATTATTCACGTAAAATCAAGCATTGTTCTCATTAGATTCGTATCTTCATCATTAAGCATATATAACGTGATTTTTCAATAGCATTTTTTTCCTATTATCTTTATTACAATATTATCTCTCTCGATGATAAATATTGCTTGATTAATCATAATAGTATGGTCTAGTCGTCGCAATATCAAATTAAACCTCAAAATAGAAATAATCTAATTATTATTTTTTGTTTTTCTTGTGAAATAAAAACAAATTAACTTAGATTGCACTTGTTTATCCCGAACATTGTGCATTCAATACATTTTAAGATTATCTAATATGTTCAAGTAAACAATCAACATGTTGCTACAATAGATTTGGAAGAATTGTTTTCATATCAGATGATATTTATATGAAAGAAAATTTCGAGTAGAATGAGTTTCATCGATATTATTATCTAATATCATCTCATAATTAGTTCTCATCGGTATGTAAACAAATGAAGTGCCGAATAATAAACCATGAAGCATCCTTCTCACAACAAATAATCCAATCATGAATATAGAAGACGGAATATTGCACCTGAATTTTATCGTCTTTTCACGAGAGAAGGTTTCCAATTAATCCACGTCGTTTTCATTAATATGCTGTTGATATATTGGAGACATTATTCGAAGAAAAATACTACGATTGTTTGGGTGATGAAGCTTACTTCGAAGGTTATAACAGTTATACTGATTTTTCATCTAGCACAAGGTATATAAAAAAAATTGAACAATGAAGTTTCACTCCGAAAGTTTGCTTCAATGTAGTTGTGGTGGTCATTGTAATGCTGTAAAAAATTTCAGTCAAGAAAATTATTTTTTTTTCTAGAGTTATCGATTCTTAAAAATTTCAAGATCTCAACAAGAAAAATTTCTTTTCCGCTGAAAATTTTAGAGTGCTTCAATGACCATGAAAAACTAAATATGAGCAAAGTTTCAGATTGAAATTCTGTTGTTCAATTTTTCTGTATATACCTTATATTGGGTGGAAAAACTAGTAAAACGGTGATAACCGTTGAGGTAAGTTCCATCAGCCCAAACTATAGTAGAATTTTTCCTGAACAATATTCCTGACATATGAACAAAATATCATCGAAAAAGGCGTAGTGTAAATGAGAATGTTCTCTCGTGTGCGACAAACAAATAAAAAGGTATATTATGAATCATACCCTCTGTACGAAGTATGTTAAGGTAATTGTTGGAGAAAAAATCACCTATAAATTAAGAATCCTTCATACCATTAATATCATAGCGATGCGTTTTTTCATATTTTTCTTCGTCGTTTTTATTTGTAAGAAAGGAAATGGATCGATATACCAATGTAATGCAAATGCTTTGTGTGAATGTTCAACACCAGTTACTCTTGTATCACGTATTATTGGTGGTGAAACTGCAGGTTCACAATCTTGGCCATGGGCTGTTTCTCTTGGTTTTAAAGGAGAACACTTTTGTGGAGGATCAATTCTTTCACCATCATTCATTATTACTGCTGCTCATTGTTTTAATGAAGTAATTGATTTAAAAAATATCACTATTCTTGCTGGATCTCTACATCTAAAATCCACATCAAATGATTCAGCTCAAATTCGTTCCATTGCTCGAATCTACAAACATCCAAATTATAATTCTTTGACGTACGAAAACGACTTAACTCTTATTCGTTTGTCTAGTCCATTAAATATGAGACATGGAAATATCAAATCAATCTGTTTGCCATCTGGTACTGTTCCTCAACCATCAGATAATATTAATATGACCGCTGTAAGTTGGGGTACAAGATCAACGTCGATAGTTAGACCTTCTTCAACTCTTCAGCAAGTTACACTGAAATCCATAGAAAGTACATTCAGTGAATGTGAAAACCTTATTTCTGATAGTAAACTCCAATTTTGTGCTGGAGTACTAACTGGTGACAAAGGTAATACATCAATATTAAACCTATTCACGGATATTAATAATATTTTCTATCTACAGATACTTGTAAAGGTGATAGTGGTGGACCGCTAATGGCATTTGTTAATAATCTTTGGTATCTTTATGGTATCACATCTTTGGGAGGTGGATTAGAATGTGCATCATCTGGTAATCCAGCAGTCTACACTCGAGTTAGTTGCTATGTAAAATGGATTAAATCAATAATGGCACCAAAAAGGATTATGACAACTACAACTATCACAACAAAGGAGACCAACGATAACTACGTTTATCACCAGAAGAAGATCAACAACAACTATGTTCATCACACGAGGACCAACAAAAACTACGAGTACCACAAAAAAACCCGCCAATAAGAACTACGACTCGCATGAGCAAATATGAATTAGTTGCTAAAGTGGCAGAACTAGTGTTTCAAACATCAAATAATAGTAAACATTGAACAATTCAGTCGTTGTTTTTTTTAGTTTTTCTGTCAATCATAACCAGAATATATTCATTTATTTTTTTTATTTCTTCTTTAATCCTTTTATTTTAATAATATTTATTGAACAATATAGCGTTACAATCTGACATCAACATATAGGATGAAATGACTCATATTCAATATTTCATCATTAATAAATACCGAAGAATATTGAAATTATCTCAACTTTTCATCTGAGCGTTTTCCTTCAAGAAGATGTATATTACTCTATCATACAGAATGCGAAAGAGCTACTAGAGATATAAAACATAGATAAATTCCAAATTCTATCATTTGAATCATCAGAAACTTGTTTTGATGAAAAATAAATGGCGACAAATTAAATGTTCAGTATTTTATTGTAAATGTTCAGTAAAATTTGTTCAGTATTATATATAAATTTTCAGTAAGGAAATCAAACTGTCAGTGTAAAATTTAATGTTCAGTAACTATTACAATTGTTCAGTTAACTAATTGTTTGCTTAGTATTAAAATTAAAGTTTCAGTAATTAATTAAGTTTGCTGTTTCAAAAATACATTTGCTCAGTAAAAAGTAGTATTTTTTATCAGTAACCATCTATTTCTTCGATGAAAATATTTTGATGTAAATAGAAGAATATTTGTCCACATGACTGATGATGACGTCATCAGGCAAAAGATATTTATGTTACATAGTTTCCTTCGATAATCATATACATATATTGTCCTACTTATCGCTGTCATTTTTTCTTGACCTACTTTTTATATTTTATTATAGTTGTTCGATATTTTAAGTTATATATAGGCTTGTAGCAACTCACAGTTTTAAGAATTGGTTCTTTTTTAAAGAACTTGTCTCAATTAACTGCTTTTCCAATTAGGCTCATTGTTTTCATTGTTGCGGTTCAGCGATTTTACACAGTTTTTATTCCAGTTGTGAAAAAAAAACTGATTAACATACCCAGTTCGTTAGAAAAAGCTGATTTAAATATCCAGTTCTTTTCAAAAAGCTGGTGACTAGTTCGAGTTCTTTTCAAATGAACTGATGACTGATATCAGTTCTCGTTCTCCGCTCAAGAACTGTTACAGGCCTAGTCATATACAAAGATGAATATATTGCATTCTTCTCTTGTTCTTCATTAAACAATGGAGAAGACGATTCTCGGCGTCGTTCCCTTTTTTCTCTTTTGTCTATC